CATATTTTTTATTTGTATAGACAGTTGGGTGCTTTTAGTAAAGTATCATTCGTTCAGACTGATGGTTCCTTTGAATATTCGAGGTTCCTCGATCGACTGACTGTCTAAAGGAGAAAATTAACTGAGGAAATACACAGATCTACGAATATTTGCTTTTCATACTATGTGTCAATTTCGGTTAACCCAATGGCCACAAGAAATTTCTGAGATTCACTGGTTAATCGCTGGTCTAAAGGAGGAAATTAGTTGGCGAAAGATGCGAATCTTGCGAGATGGAATTGATTGCAAAGATAACGGGGCTCGTTAACCGTTGCTAATTCTCAGGGACCGGCCGAAATGAGCCTGGCGTTTCAGGACAGGCCGGTAATGGACTCGTCCCGGTGCACTTCCGGTTATTATCGGGCTTCCTGCACGTTCCACGCCAGGATCGTGGTTATCTCGATTTCTGCAATTGTCGATACCTCCCCCCTCCCATTCCCTTATCTCGCTTTACTGGATTCTGGATTTCAGTGCTCGGCTAATCCAGCAACTCAGCTCGTCGACGTCGCTGCGATCTCACCAGTTAGCATTCATTTAAGCACGCTTTCGTTCATGTTCGAATAATACCGCGAATAATCCGACTTTCATGCCGTTCGTAATTTTAGATTGGATAGTTTTTAATATTAGCCTAGCCTTTGATTACAGAAGACTGAATTTGCATACTGGCTACTTACAATAATCGCAGACTATTATTCTACGAAAAAAATTCCACTAGACACGACGACATTTATATCATTATATATTTATATACTATTTATGTGTATACTTATAAATTTATAATTTCCAAGTCTAAAGTAGTTCAAGCTAGGAATATTTCAATAATTAATAACGTTTAATACTAACTTTAGCTCGAATATTTTTCAAGTCTATTCTTTAATATGGAAATTCGAAGGTGTATGGGATGAACCGTAGTTAGGTGATTGGTTATCAGAAACGGATAATTAATTTGCTGCTCAACGACGGCTATAGCTCGTGATTTCCTCCGCTAAACAATGGGGTGGTTTATTATCGTTGGCCGGCGCCATTGTCCCCTTACGTGGGCAACTCGATAAATCAATCGTTCTATTAATCGAACAGGTGCGATCGGGAATTAGACGCGTTCGTGATCGTAAATTACGCTGATCCGTTTACGATCCGTGACGTTCGGATTTGTCGCTGCGGAGATGCATAATTTCAGTAGGGCGCGGGCGCCATCTATCGTGAAAACCTAACCTCAAACCAGATCGTTTCACTCCCGTTTCATTTTGATTCCTACACCATGAACTCCAGAATGATAATCGCCGAAATGACTTCAAGCAGAAATAAATTATCCTGATAAAGTTGGATCTATCCTCACCTCATCCTCATCTGTCGCAACAGAACTGTTACAATTCAAGAAATTTAGTAATGATTTCTTGAGGATTAAAACAGAATTAGTTCCAGCGATGTAATTAACCAAATCTGTCAGCGTTTTTCATCCACACAGAGGCATCTCGAGGAGTCGTAGTAACTAAGCAACGAATGAAGAAACTCGACAAGTCTAGAACAAAACTCTTGCTATTTATTTCTCTAGATCAGCGACTAGCAAGAAGGTACTAGGAAGCTCAAAGGCTAGGCTGCTCAAAGCGACCGCGACAAACGACAGGTTGTTTTTCGAGAGGAGACAAGGGACAAAGGAACGAGCATATTTCCCTTGGCATTGCACAAAGGAATCCTCCCCCCGCGACACTTTATTTCCTCAGGAAGGAAAGCTCGGCGATTACGCTCTCGCGAAACGCAATTAAGTCGCCTGTTTCTTGCTCCTTTTTTTCCCCCCCTTTCTCAAATTGTAATTTTTCCCCTCCCCGTATGTTGTCCACGTTCAAAAGTCGTGGCTCGAGATGCTCGAACAGTTCAGCTCCCTCCCTGTTTCCGAGATAATGCTTGGGAGAGTAAAAGATTGAGAGAGAGGGGGGGGGGGGTGATTAATTACGAGATGCTACGTTTCGAAGCGATTGTAATAAGCCATTTTCCTCTGCGATGACAGAAGTAATCTGATTTAGAAAGGGGGTCACGTGGTCCGAATTTTTGTAGCTGACGGAGGGAATTAATTTTAGGATTAAATTAGTAGTCGAAATGTTCGACTTCGTAAAGATACAAATAATTCAGGGAGGTTTTTTTTAAAAAAAAAATGATTACTGATGGATCTTCAAGAGGCAATTACAAACCTGAATTTCTCTCATTTTCGGTATCTTTACTGATAAATATTATTAGTTCTCTCAAGAAGATATGCAAATGAATTCGTTTCGTTTGAAAACTAGAGAATTCTTCGAACTTCTAAACTCTATGGAATGTATATTCAAGCCAAAATCGATGGGAGATCGTCGCGACAGCGAATCAACCTCCGGCTCCTTGATGCCGTAAAAAATAAGGAGCGGAGAAAAGATCAATGGAAAGGAAAATCCAGAGGGAAAGAGGATCGCGTAGTGAAATGCTCTTGTGTATCCCGGAGGACTTAAATTACATCCCTTATACACGGGAGGAGAAGCTCTCGTTGTGGATATTCCACCCCGAAGTGGGTGGATCCGGGCCGCGTAATATCGCCGCGCAGAACTCTCCTTCGATTGTGCTTCCCCAGTATTTCCAACGTTTGCCCTCTCCTATGTTCCTCGCCAGCTGGAGAAAAAGAGAAATCCCTAGCACGCGAACGTAAACGCTTTTATCTCGCGATATTTACACTGGATCCGCCGAGAGATACCGAGGTTTTCGAAACTTCTCTCTCGATTCTCTATCGCCATTCTTTTCCGTCTCATCTTGCCACTCGTTCCGCAAGGAAATGTATCGAGAACGTTTTCTGGTCTCCTGCAGAGACGAAGCCAATTTGGGAATCCATGTTGCCGTTGGTACGCCTGTGCAGGCAATTCTGAGAAATAGGGGAATATGAAATATTCTGGCGTTGGTGTCAAGAAGACGAGGAATAAAGTAATCCAACAACGCAGACTATCCTAGTGGTTACTATCTGATAAATCTAGGATTTATTGGACCTGCCGGATCAAGTAAATCCTCATCAGGATTAAATTAAAGTAAAACTAAATTGAGAATTTGGTTGGTCAGAATAATCTTCATGTAAATTCCACCTAAAATTTGGACTATCAAAGTAAATATTTATCTAGCAAAATAAATATTTAAATATGCAGAAGACTCTGGTCAAAATGGTATATATATATATATATATATATATATATATATATATATATATATATATATATATATATATATATATATAATAAATTTACCACGATGTTTAAACTGCAATATTAATAACCTGCGTTACAGTTGGCATGCCTGTGAAGATAATTCCACGGCACAAAATGAAGTAGATGGCGTTGGTGGATCGGGTTGTCTGTCTACCAACTGAGGAATAATTTACATTTAAATTGACCTGATCACAAGATTCCGAAGAACAAAGTTTTCAATTTAAAATCATTGTATCAGATTCGATCGAAGGAAAGATATAAAACTGCGCGAATCACTCTCTACACTAAATGAAGAGAACTCAAATTACATTTGCATGTCGTTGCTACCTGAAAATATGGATTCTGGATGCCCTGTTGTAAGTTTCAATGATTTCTTTTATCATACCGCGGAACGGTTTGTAATTTGAAGGGCAGCTGGCGAACACGCACGTTCCACTGAAATAATACCGAGCTGGCTATATTAACTTCCAATTATTAGGGTTCTGAATATGTATGCGGTCGGTTCGCGCTTAGAACGTTAAATATCCAGAGCGGCCGCGGTCAATATGCGTGCTTGTGGGCATTACACGCCGATATATCGGCAAATATTCCGCACGTGAATATGCAACGCTGAAAACGCAACACGTTACCAACAAATCCCTCTATATTGCTATCAGTTGGAACAGAACCGAAGAATTTCCAGGCCGACTCGAATCGATCAAGCGCAGTGAATCCCCGCTATGGAGGATGGAAATTACGGTTTAAACATCGCGGTAAATTTGGCAGATTCGGTTCTGACCGAAATGCTCAGATTAACTATCTGGGGATCATTTGGCACGTCTGTACTCCTTATTTACTTGTAATATTAATCAATGTCATCATCTACAATACTAATTTCCACTTGGCAAGTGTTAGTTAATTAGGCAAAACAATTTATGTCAATTTATAATAGTTTCCATCTCGCCGTCAGTTAAAATCATTGTCTGTAATTTGCGATTAACTGGTCAGATTATATTAGGTTTCTAAAATCAATAAAATTAGATTTATTCAATTGCCTTTAGATAAATTGGTACAGTAACTTTAGATTGACGATTTGATTCTCAGAATTTTAAGGTTCGACTAATTTGGACACGAACTGTTTATAATCTGAGCAAATCTAAATCTAGTTTGATCTTTCTGATCAAAACTAAATCTACCCAATTTACTACAACGTCTACATTCGAATTTGACGAATGAATTTTGGTGAGTTGACTACATTCATCTTATCATTCACGCCACGATATAAATGCAATTCCAGCAACAGGACAATGGCCCAGGCGATCCTGCGTGTGTTGGTCCTCGAAGAAGCATTCGAGGATCGTCAGAACGTAGCACATGACTCCCAAACGTCATAACTCGGATCACGATCGCGCCTAATGGCCTCGAGACGGCGATAACACCGGGACGTATTTAGGGGAAACGGTAATTATTATGGCGCGGCTAGTACCGTGGAAGTCTCGACTGTAATCAGGGGAATTCTAGGGTACGATAAAATTCTGGCATTAAACGAGCTAGGTTCTTCTCCCTCTCGCCACCAAAGCAAAGACCTTTCTTTTTTTTTTTTTTTTTTTGCAAAGATCCTCCAGGAAGTTTTAAGATCGAATAAAATTTCTTTCAGTTATTGCACTGTTCAATTATGCCCAATTTCCATTTTGCCTCGTTTTACGTTGGTACTGAGGAACGCTAATCCATTTAGGAGCGATGAAACTTCAAGATGGCAGCACTCACCCTCGATCAGCTGATCCAACATGGCGTAGATGTGCGACGTTGCCTCGTCAGTCATCACCCAGCCTCCTGTGGCCATCTCTAGCCTGCCATCTTTCACTAACCTCTTTACGACCATCTTCTTGGTGGGATGGGCACTGGAAATGACCAAGAAAATTGGAGATTTTAACTAAATGACATTTCCGTTATTAATTCACTATATTATTATTGACTTCAAATCGAATCAAACTGGCAACTCGTCCTTTTCCTTTCTAAATTTTCGACGTTGGAATAATTTTGATTTCCACCTTATTAAACCAAAAATTAAATTGACGTCAGAATTTAGGGTTGACCGGTGGAAGCAATGCGTATCGGGCTTAATACTTTGACGAGGGGTTCGCCTCTCTCGTTAAAAACGTTTATGTCTGCCATAAAACAGCCACAAATCTCGCATTGCCTGCCGAGGACTTCCAGCTCTTCTCTCGTCTCGGGTTAAAGTCTGATCGCTAAACTAAATCTCCTCTATGCCCACGTTTCACGATCCATTTCACATTCGATCTTGAAAATTTCCCTTCCTCTGAGAACACGCCTGCTTTTGTATTCTTGGTACAGTCAGCAGTTACACGTTTTATTATAATCTAATTCTGATATGTACTGAATATTTTTTTTTTTTTTAAGAGATATTAGACACGGAGCATAATCCAAACCGAGGAGATTCACGTTTTTGTTATAATAATATTGACTCGAATTTTTACTTCTTCTGCTGAACACATGTATACTTTATTTAATTTGAATATACAATTAGGAATGAATTCAATGTGAAAAGAAATATATCTAACTTCGAATATCCCATACCTTTCAATCGCAACTAAATTGTCTGCAACATTTTTTAATGTTAGGATATTTCGTCCTCTTTGAATAGTTTATTTAAACATTGGTGAAATTGTAAATTGTCGTCAATTTCTAGAACAGTCTGTAGATAAAGCGAGTCTCAATCATGTTCGAGGTTACACTATCAGATGTGAAAATCAATTTCGAAGGCGGGTCGAAACGTATCACGGATTCTAGGATCGCAAAGACATTCCTGGAAGTATAACTCACCGTCTAGGGAGATTAAACACGAACGACTGATATACAGGTTGAATGATTGTGAGTTACATAGCAGACAGGAGAAGAAAGGTAAGGACGAGTAACGTGTAACGCAACTTGTAATTTCGCACGATACAAATCATATTTATAGCCGGTGCATTCCAGCGGGTCAGGGATTTACGTGATGCCGCAATGGCCGCCTCCTCGCGGTTCAACGTCGGCCCGTAAACCACCAAACGAATTCCGTTCCACTAGCGTTTCCCATCGTCGATAACCCAGATCCCGAGGAAGTCGTCGATCTCTACGAAGACGTCTTTAGCTTTCCGGTTAACACTTTGTATATAGATGTGATCCTGAGGCCGTGAATTTACAAGTGACTTTGAAAAGTATCGCGGAGAAAGCTGCGAAATTGCCTTGGCCGAGAAAAGAAACGGATAATGAATCAATTTCGAATCGTCCGCGACTGAGAACATTGTCTTTGACCGAAGACTATTAGTCTTTGTAAACAAGACTTTCAAAGAGGAAGAATCTTTCAGTTTCAGAGTACACCAGTAGTACAATCGCGAGAGAGAAGATGAAAATAATTTTTCGTCTGATAATCGTCAAGTCATCGGAATAATAGCCAGACACATTCTGTCCCACGCCAGGGCGGCCATTCACTCTGACCTGAACTTCCTAATTATACCAAAGTAGTGCTCCGCAGAACTTCGCATTAAGCTGAAATTCGCCGCCGGACCATGAAGAAACGAGGGCTGCTACAGTGATCCAGCAGTTTTCATCATACGTAGCGCAGGCGAGGCTCGTTTTCACTCATGGCGTTCCAGGCTGTTGAGGAAGGGGGTGGTTTTCGATTCGCCGGATATTATACCTAAATCCCTCCCAAGTACCACGGGACCGCCGTTCCTCGCCCTAATGGGCCATTTTATGACAGCCTTGTTCCCCGGCTGAGAAAAAAAAAAGAGAGAAAGAAAAAACGACGACACGCGAGGCACAAGGAAATCCATTCCGCGCTCTCCACGTGATCCTCTTGCAGAGGCGATTTCCTGGATCGGTATCGAGACGATTTCCGTTTCCCTGAATCGGAAATGATCCCTTGTCTGGCCAGAATTTGATCCTCCGTCAATTCCATAAAGAAGTCCGTCTGTTCGAGAGTTGGTAGAGCTGGGGGGGGGACCTTATATCTCGTTTTCTCCCCCCTTTGCGATTCCGTTTTATGCTCGCGCTACTTTCTCATCTTTATCCCCGGCTTCGCGTATGATCGTTAAAAAAAAAAAAAAAGGAAAGCAGCGGAGGATTACAAGGGGACGCCTTAACTGCTCTTTCGAGCCAGGCCATCGTACACCCCTAATGGCGCCCTTTACGACTGTCATCTTCGCCGCGTACATACGCGTCGGCCTCTCCTAACGTGGGTATAAAAACCGATGCCACCTTTGAACAGGCGATTTAACAGAAGAATAGAAGGATGACTTTGGAGGGAATCAACCTGTTTTCATTGCTCGACAGTCTCTGATGATCTTTCGTTTTCGATACTATTTCTGTTTAGTGTTTCTTTTTTCTTTCTTTCTTTAATTCTTCTTCTAGCGTTCATGTTGTAGGAAATTGAACTCACCTCTCCCACCAGAGTGACAAGAAGGATACTTCGCTCCAGATGAAGGTCATATTGGGCCACTGCTGAAGCTTCGAGACCATGTTGTTCAATATGCTCCTGGTGGAGCTGTGGAAGTACTGTTCGAACGTTTTCAGCCATCCTGGGTCAGTGTGACTGTGAGGTACCAGGATCACCTGTAACACACAAAGGAACGCCCTGTTAGTACCTGTTCTTAAATTCTTCGAGTAAATCATTTAAACGAAGAACTGTCCCCGGTCTATCATCTAGACAAGTGGAACTAATTGAATAATCTGATGACACAGAATATTCAATTTCTCGTGCAGTTTCTGAGGAGGACGAACGAATTTTACATGAAACTTTGTGTAATCCACGTTACAAAAATTCAACTGTAAATACGATTCTTCGCAAAAGCTTTAATACCTCACTTTTTCTTGTCCTGAACTATTCAACTGGTCGTAAGAAGACTGGATCAAATTTAGATTCGTATTTGCTAAATTCAACTTAATCCTGGCTAACAGTTTAAAATTTACAAAAGACGGAAACAGTTAGGTATAATAATAGGCACGGCACCAACGACTCCGTTATTCTAATTAAATATGTATCTGCACATTTGCCGGAGATATATTAAATGCATTTCGAGAGAGCCCTCTATTTCGATTAAAATCAGCCCCGATACGTAGGACGGTTCAACGAATTTCTAGAGGCAGGGCAGTGATTCTCAACTGGCGGTGATCGACGAGTAAGAGGTGGAAATTTGTTAATTAGACCGTGCCAGGGCTCGCCGTGATAACGGCGTTATTCCGTAATTAATACACTGCCGAGGTCGAGTCGGTAATGCAGCCGCACGCCGGCCAACATTGCTCGTAAAACAATTTGCGGGACTCATTACGATTTACTATTGGTTCATTCGCTCGTAAGTCCGGCTAGCTTGGTTGTTGTTCATCGTCGGCAACGGTTCGGGGATTTCAAGAAAAATGATCGCCGTCTATACACGCGCGTATGTTTCAATCACCCTAGGGGGAACTAGATTCTAGGGAATTTCACGAGTGACATATAGACCGTAATTTCCTCGTAACTAATATGTGAATTAAAAAAAATACTATACTTTTCTATCTATTTATATAAGTGCATAATTCGATCATCGTAAGGGGAACTAGATTATAGGGAATTTCATGAATGACATATAGACCGTAATTTTCTCGTAACTAATATGTGAATTAAAAAAAAATACTATACTTTTCTATCTATCTATATAGGTGCATAATTCGATTATCCTAGGAGGAACTACATTCTAGGGAATTTTACGAGTGACATATAACCCTAATTTTCTCGTAACTAATATGTGAGTAAAATTAAAAAAAAAAAAAAAAACACTATATTTTTCTACTTACCTACATACGTGCATAATTCCATCATTCTCGAGGGAACTAAATTCCAGGAGATTTCACGAGTGACACATAGACCCTAATTTTCTCCTAACTAACATGTGAATTAAAAAAGAAAAAAAGGAAAACACTATCTCCTTCTATCTATTTATGTACGTGCATAATTCAATCATCGTAGGGGGGGAAATTAGATTCCAAGGGATTCCACGGAACGACACCTAGGCTAACTGAACTTTTTCGTAACTAATGCGGCGATTAACGACGGTGACTTTGCCAGCCAAAGCGAGCGGGGCGCATGCAGATTTCAGCGGAGGATTCGAAATTGCATTTGAAATTTCGTCGAAGTCAATTTGATTTTCGGCCGGGGCCGAAAGTTCGCGTTAATGAAAATTCATACCGGTCGGCGTTCGGGGCGCTTCCATTTTTTCCCCCCCTTCCCTACCCTCTTCTCGGTTCGTTTTCTCTTCCATGCCGCGCCGTTCGTTCTGGCTTTCACCGTCGCGCATCACTTTTATGAATATTTAACGCGGCGCCTGTTTGATCTTTCACACAGCGGCCGACCTGTGTTTCGCTCTGGCTCTCGGTGATGGAAAAAAGAAGACAGCACCCTCCACCCGTCGCCGCGCTCGGCTTCTGATTGAGAATCCCTGCCACAAAGGATTACAATAAACCGATATCCATTCGCTCATAATCAGCGTGGAAGCCGCGGCACGTTAAACTGTGCATAGCTCTCACCGACGAATCCCTGTTATGTGCGCCTCCGTTTATTACGCGACTAACCCTCCCCCACTCGATCGATCGATCGACAATTTAAATCGGTTCCTACGAGGTTCAGGTTTTTTTTTTTTTTTTTTTTAAATTCATAACAAAACAATTTGACAAATGAATTATATTAAATAATGACCGTCCCGATCGACAATTTAGTTTGTTGTAACTATAGAACGTGGTGTATTCAAAGCAGTGGATCGCGAAATTTCAAAAATTAAAATATATAAAAAAATCTCCTTCGTATTTCTGAAGTTTCTTCAGAATACGTACGTAACAGTTCGATTGAACCAAACGATTTATTTTATTCCGAGATATGTCACCGCACTGTCGGAAGACGGAGGCGAGAATAGAGGAAATTCCCTAGATTGATATTCCAGTGGGTTCGTGCCAACTGTCGAATTGTCGTTACCAAAGACGAGCGTTAATTACAGATCGGTCATCCAGCGCGTTTAATAAGCCGACTACCGGAAACCGCCGCGGGAGATATCAAGGAAGGCTTATTTGTATGCATGAGACGATCGCGACCCGGATCAGTGAGACCCTTTAATACACCTCTCTGGTCCTCCCCCATTCCACTAACCTCCTCTTCGTAGCCACTATGATCCGTTCACGATCGCCAATTTCCCAATAACGTTGCTTCTTCATATCGTCGTTATTATCTCTGAGTATGAAATAATATACACAGATGATCACGCTCTTTTCGCTTATTATATTCATTTACTGAAGAAAAACAAATTCAAAAAAATTTGAAATGTAATTTACAATATGCTAATAAGGGAAAATTTTTACCTTTTTTTCTTCTTCTTTTTATTTTCTGTCGCAAAATGATCCTAAAGGTGGGACTTTTCTCTAACAGAAATTCTAATTTCTCATTGTTGTACAAAATTTACGAAACTTTCAATATCCATAATTCAAAAAATTCCTCCAAACGCTAAATATTACCCAGCAATTTTATATAAATTTGTACAAAAAGAAATTATCATTCAATTCAAAGTTTCATTCAACAACAAAATCATCGTCCGACTATTTTTATCATAAATCTTCCCCGAACACTTTTATCATAAATCTTCACTGAACACAAAATATACGCGATCGAAAATTTCTTCTTCTTTAATGTGTTCGACAATTAATCATTGACGAATTCAAAGTGCCATCGGGTTTATTTTTCGTATTCTTCACCATCCTACGACGTACCATCCTTCTGACAGAAATCCAATCAAGCACTCTAACATCGATACCTCAATATTTCAAGCTTTATACTTGTTCCGTGGCAGCTAGTTTCCACACGCTTGGAGTTTTATCTCTTCTTTCTTACCTACCTCCTATCTCGTATGCATAAGAAAGCGCTGCTATTAGGTGAATAAATAACGTTAACAAACCCAGTGCTTAGAGTTTCTCTGCAGGAAAGAAACAGAAGTAGAGGGAAAGAGAGAAAGAGAGAGAGAGTCGCAGAATAAGCAGAGGACGAGAAGCGACTCGTGACCGTTCCACGTTACATTTCCCTAGCCACGATAGGCAACCACGCCAACATTTCACCAGAGCGAGCACACTTTTTACGAGGACAAGTCTCTTACAAGCCAAATGTGTCTCATCTCCTGAATGCTATTTACCCTCATCCACTCTGACCCTCTCAATGTTTCAATACTCGAGCGGCATAATTCCCTAGACATTCGTGCTTTCGTAGAAAATGTTGTTCCTAATCATAAGACGTTCCTAATCATAAGAATTCTACGAATATATATATATCGTAATTACAGTTATATCGTATTACTGTACTGTATAATATGTTGTACTGTACAATTATATACTATATATATATTATATATTATATAATATATAATTAATTATAAACAAAATATTATATCACATAATATTTATATGTGTTGTTTTACACTATAAAATACGTATAGTATAGTAAAGTACAGTATACTGTGGTATACGTATGGTATAGTATAGTAAAGTATAGCATACTGTAGTATACATATGGTAACGAATATATATATCGTAATTACAGTTATATCGTATTACATTATCAGACATACACTGTACTGTATATTATGTTGTAATTAATTATAAACAAAATATTAAATCACATAATATTTATATGTGTTGTTTTACACTATAAAATACGTACAGTATAGTATAATAAAATACAGCATACTGTGGTATACGTATGGTACAGTACATTATAGTATAGTAAAGTATAGCATACTGTAGTATACGTATGGTAACGAATATAATAATTACAGTTATATCGTATTACATTATCAGACATATACTGTACTGTATATTATGTTGTAATTAATTATGAACAAAATATTATATTACATAATATTTATGTGTTGTTTTGTACTATAAAATACGTACAGTATAGTATAGTAAAGTACAGCATACTGTGGTATACGTATGATATAGTATAGTATAGTATAGCTGTAGTATACGTATGGTATAGTATAGTATAGTAAAGTATAGCATGGCATAGCATAGTATAGTAAAATATAATCTACGTGTAGTATAGTCTAGTATAGTACAGTATACGTATAGTATAGTGTAGCGTAGTGTAGTACACGTATGCATTTTATTACATTATACTGTAACAGTTAATTTCGCGAATTAGGAAATTAATTGGACACCGTGTAGATGTTATGTCTAAGTTCGCGAGAACCGACGGAAACACGTCTCAAGAGTCACGCACTCGGACGACTTTATCTCGAGGTTGCTACCGTCAGTCTCTCTCGAAGGAGGAGTCACCTCCAAAAGTGCATCACCAGCTCTCCAGGTTAATTTCCGGCCTGGCAACTTGCAAACTTTCGCGCAACTCGCTTCCATCCGCCGCCTTTCGTTTAATGCGTTCCTTCGTGAAAACTAAAAGCTAGTTCCTTTTCAAATGATCACCGGGCGGCTCTCGTTCCCGTTTCTACGATTCCACCGTACATCCATCCATTTCGTCAATTGAGAGACACGACGATCGATAAAAGCTTTCGAACGGGCGACAACGCGATCGTTTCGTCAATAGAGGA